TGAAACTAACTTTGTTTCATTTTTTTCAAAATTGTTTTTCTTTTTTTCAAAAAAGTTTTATACTTTAACGATCGCTACCCCAATACACGGATTTTCTATTTTATCTAATATTTATGTTTATTAGTTACACAATATATTTTTTGTAATACTTTCTAATTTATTTTGTATTAATTTATATATTTAGTATGTTAGTAAAACAATTTTCAGTTTCAATCAATTGTAAGAGTGAAGTACATATAAAAAAGCTTCGCGTAACTACGAAACAGAGTGATAGTCGTACGTAACAGAAAAGTAGTAAATTAATTGTATCGTGAACTAAAAAAAAAAAACAAGCAAGCGTGTAAGTCCTTTACAACGAGAATCACAGTGGAAAGCAAGCTCAATCACATTAAATAGCAAAAGTTACCCCTGCGCTTGCAAACTTTCTCGGTACATTTTTTTTGCGTTAACATTAAACCGATGGTCCTACGAAGATGCAAGAAATTATTAAGCTTTGCACGTTAGATTTTCACTTTTTATGGGTTTTATGCGTTCCCCTAGAAAGAGAGAAAATCCGATTTCAACAGGTGGGCTTTCTAACCTACACGGGAAAAGTAAATGAGACGGAAAATATTATGAAAAGAGATATCCAGTGCAAAATTAGGTACAGTAACTAACGGTGTTCTGTCCTCTATATATAAAAACAATTCGAAGAGTTTAACTTTAATTTTTAATCTCGTTTTTTTTATTCGAATCGTCTTGGCGGCATGATGCCATATACAAGGTATATGTATATTCCGAATATTGAGAGTGCACATAAAAAATATACGATGAAATTTCTCATACGAGGTATCATTTCCAAATAAATCATTATCGAAACTTTATCTGTTCATGAAGAGGGCTGGGTAAAATTCAAAGCACAAATATTTGAAATACTACCTTAAAGAGTGCAATACCTGGATCGAAATTTTCACTTAGAGGAAAATCGATCCAGAAGTTCTAATTCTATGATATTACTACAATTATAAAATAAGATATTACGTGCAGATTTCTGTATGGAGAAACAAAATGAACTGAGAATAAATTAACATAAATAAAAAATTACAAAATAAAACCGTACCATTCTCGGTGTCGGTCAAATGAAACAGCATATTAAATACTATTTTAAAAATTGAATAGAAATGAAGTATATTTTTATTTTCATATATTTACGCAGATTTCAAAGTAAAAAAAGCCATTTCCTATTCATTTACTTAAAATATGAACTTATCCAACCCTGTTCTAATTATTCTACAATTTTCATTACACCCTGTATATACGTGATTAAGATGTGAAATCAAACCTTGACAATTGTCAATATTCTCATAAGCGTGTAAGCCACTTAAGTAACACCGACGCTATAAATATTAAAATACGGTTTATTGCAGTTCTCAACGGTGGACTTGTATCCCTAAGACTTGCATTCCTCATTTCCAGAACTATTATCACCGCAAGCAAACCGCAAAGATCATTTCCATGTGTCCCACACATGTATCCCACAATTCACTTTCGTACTCGCACCGAATATCACTTTCAAACTTCTGTTCAAGTGTAATTTTACCATTTAAAAGGATATCAATCGAATTAAAAGTCAGAGAATCTTCGACTGAATTATAAAGCATACCTTGTTACTCGAAATTTCTAATCGAATGACCCAACTTTATGATTAATCATATTTTAACTAGTGAAATACAGATACCTACCATATTGATTTTTTTATGCCTGAAATCTTCATTTATACTGTGTATAAATAGAATTAATTCCCATCACACTTTGAGGAGATCATTAGAAGTACTACAGTTTACATTTAAAACGAAAATTAAATGAATTTAAGAATGAAAGAATGTAGAATCTAAGTATAAAAGAGTTTTGTATTATTTCGAGTAATACTGACACACTTGAAATCTGCGTTTACCCAGTTTGACTATAATCATGAATATCCTCATCGTCTGATTCGTATAATGCAAGCACTGCTTTCTGTATTTAGAATGAAAATTAACAATTTAAAATCTTGATCTAAATAGAAAAGTGTTTGGCATTATTGGTATTTTTGTAATGCGTGAAGTATGTTGTAAGGCGTAAAACTCCACATATTCTGCCAGCGTAATACAATTACCGTATCCAGAATTCGAAACAAGATTAAATTGTAAAAATTTTAAATTTTCTTTCAATGTAAAACGATTTAGAAAAGCCTTGTATTATCCGCGAATATTTCTATCCATTTACAGGTAACACTTGGTTCTACGTACAGACTGTAGAAGTGGTCGCGTAAAATCATGCGGAAAGACAGCACGTACGTATACTAACAAGGAATGTGATAGCATGGTCTCGAGACTGAGAACGTGGTGAGAGTACGGAAACTTGGACAGTCGCCAATTTATACAACATCTAAACGGTCGCGGCTACGAGGATTTTGCTCCTTTCGAGTTCTCTGACTTATTTAGTGTGAACGAAAATCCACGTAACTCACATTCAGAAAACATGAAATTTTATACAAAACGTGCAACTAAATGCACTTCCACTTCTAGAACTAATTCAACCTTATTTGAAAAAAAGATATTCCCAAAATAAGCATAAAGTTTTTCTTTTTCTTTTTAATTAGTTAACGTGCAAGAAAATTACGAATTATCGCTTCACAGTTTGCAAATGTTTATGCAAATTATCATTTTTATAAACTATTTTGAAAAAGGCCAAAATGAATGAAAAACTCAAACTGTCAAGACATTTAGTAACACTTAATCAACACTCCTATTATGAACTCATCAATATTTCAATACACTAATAAGTTTAATAACGTTTAATCGAATTTTTGTTTCAGTTTAAGTCTGGTAAAATTTTTAATTAAATCAATAGATTTTTTATTCCAGTTTCTGAAATGTTTATCTATTAGATTTTATATTTGCTCAAACGTCAACACAGTATAATTACGAATATCTTTAGGAAGACTCTTCACGATCTATAAATCACTATTCTTATGAATGTTCATCATATTTATAATCGAATTTTTATTTTAGTTATATCTCCAGTTTATTTCATCAGTCGATACTTTATTTAGAAGTTATAATTAAAAAAAATCTAATTTGTAATCTTCAAGCATCTGGTTATTCGTTCAATTAAAAATAAAACAAAAACATCATTAATCTTTCTCAACGATTTCGTTTCATTATCATCTATACATTTCCATACGTTACAAATATATAAAGAAACGATACTGTAAACATTGTACATATGTAATCAAACGAAAAAGGAAAACAATTGAACCAATAGTGTTACGATACTTACTGAAGTGAACTGTTTGAATAGTCAATAACAGGCTAGCAACTTTATGATGCGCGCTTTCTAGCGAAAAATTCTAGATACTCGGTGACAGATAAGTGTGATTTACGATTCGATATTTGATCTAGCAGTCAGGTGGAAGGCGAATATAAAACTGTCGACCTATTTCGTCCCTCTGTCCGCCTTCTATATCAAACTTTTTCATCGCATCGAGACTACCTGTTAAAGGAGATGTTCTACAAAATAACTATTAATTATAGGTAAATCATACGATTGAATTACACATTCGGATAAGGTGTGTTAATTTCGAATGATGATGCATCATTAAGGAAGTGGGTTTACCCGGAAAAGATTGGCTTACGTGTATTCTAACAAAATTTCACTCACAAATTTATTATTTATTCACTCTGATTTTCGTTGCTTTCAAAATCGCTCTGAATCATAAGTAAGGAATAAACCAGATTTCTTTGTATGATCTGGAAACATTTTGATGACATAATTCAGGATGCCTTGTCAATGTTAGTATACACAAGCAAAACTAGATGGTTCTGTACGAAAAAGTAAATCCAAAAATGTAGAATAACATTTTTTAACGGAAAGGCTTCTTCATTTAAAAAGAAAACGAAGTAATGTCTCAATATTGTTCACTATGTCGACTTATAGAAAGCACTTGGTTATGATATTTATTAGCATGGTGTGGTACTGTCGGACTCTATCAATATGTTCAATAAATTTATACCAAATTACTGTCGAAAATAAATAATACCATATCATAAACAAAGATTATCATCTACCATAAATAGAAATAACTAGTCATAGACAGGCACGTGTGCCAAATGGTGCTCAAATACACGCGTTCGCAATTTAAATGTCCGCTGACGAGTTGGGTCAATTTTTACCTATACCATTAGATCCGACGAAAAGTTTTTTGTTGTTTTTCTACCTATGTTATAATAATAGAATGAAGAAACTTCAATGCAAGTTGTATTGTTATACTACTAGAACGATGAAACACGGACATAACAAATAAGACTAATAATAATAAACATATCTGAATCGATCAAACTAGAAGTACGTAGAATATCCTCCAGATCTAACATTTTATGCCAAACTTGAAGTACCCTTATCGATATGTGCATCAATAAATCATTTATGTGTAAGTTACACGTACGTAACCTTTCCTTTTCAAGAACCAACGATGTTAATTAAAAGAACTTATAGAAAAATGAAGTTTGCACCATTACGATAAAAACATGGGTTAGAATAATTTCGAAAAATTTTACCCTCGATTAAAAATGAACCCGTTCCGTGTTTTACTGGACTATAACCAGTTCCATCATCCAATGATTAGTTTTCAATGTGCATTTAATTGAAAACAAAGTCTCACGTGAAAAAATGATAGTGTACGTTTTTAATGTATTATTATGTATACAATGACCGCGTTCTCAATTGAGTACCACCAACACATCTACTTTTATATTCGTCCAAATAATTTTCCTCAGGTTTAGTTAAATATAACGTTCAGTTTTGTCAAGTTAAATGAGACATCGACGACGACAGTCACAATAATTGATTCTTTACCAGCTTAAAGACGCGACATGTGTCAGCGACACTTTTCGTACAATTTGTCGGCAATATGTGTGACAATTTGACAGCAGGGAAAAAACGCGAGGAACCACGCGCGCACTCGTAATTCTGCTACTCACCGAAAGCAATTCCTCGAGGCAAATGATCCAACGAGCGGCGATATCCTTCCGGAGCACCGAAAAAAACTAACCAAAAATCGTATCCACGTGTACGGGGCAAAACCAATCACGACACTGAATCACTCACTAAATCCGCAAACGGTGCGCGATCCGATGACACTTTCGACGCACGATTTTACGACTGTGGAATTTCGTCACGTCGCGCGTTCTCTCAAGAAACGGTACAAACGCTCATGTTGCTGCCTGGCAGAGTGAATTACCAGCTTCCCTCTCTGACTAGCAGCCGATGGGCGTGGTTTGACGCCGTAAACTCTCGAGAAGGTACGATCGCATCCGACCGAATCTATTAGCAGACCGAAAGGCTGGTTCACACGCGTGCGGTGAAATTTTCAGCAATTCAAGAATCACGCGCGAGATTTGAAACGGATCGCATTCTTATCTGATTTGTTATTTACTTTGTCCTATTAGTTAAGTTAATATTATCCAATAAATAATGTACCGACAAGTATTTGACAGGTAGATTATTTCAGTAATTGTTATTATGTTTCAAATTTCAACATCTATTATTTGATTTCGTAAAAACAATAATAATATTCCTTTATCGTCGACGTTCTATTGTAAAACCTTAGATTTTTGAAAATAGTCATTATTAATTGAACTTACTATTAGTGTATGTGTTTTTATTATAATTTTGTTCAAATTTCTATAATAAAGAATATAATTAAGAATCAAATTATATTGGCGTCGGGACAAATTGATCCAAACAGTGCACGAGGGTTAATGAAAACTTTTTTCTTGTTACTTATTTACATTATTATTTAAGATAGCAAAATACTTAGAAAATAAATTGTTTTAAAAATAATCTATTCATCAGATAATGTTTTGAAGTTTCATAGACCTTTTTTCCATTAAATTATTTGTTACTTTCATTAGGTAAGTATATACATTCGCTTTATTTGTTATTGTTATTCTAAAAAAATTGTGCCTGTTCCTGTATCGAATGATGGAATGACTGATAGTCCGCTATAAAGGTGATTCTCATAACTGCGCCGGGCTATAGCTCTATTCCAAGTGAAGTTGGAAAAAAATCATAGAGAATAATTTTGCATTGTTTAACAAGCATACACTCGTGTGTTACATTAGATATTAGATTATAACAGAACTACAATTTAATAATTAGACGATTTTGTGTCAATTTCATATTAACTGTCACAGAACAGAGTAGTGTATCACAGTCAGGTAGAAAGCAAATGGGGATCAAAATTAACTCAAGCAAACCATCGAACGGTTAACACAACGTAAAAGTTTGCCTTAGCTCTCAACAGAACGCGTTATTCAAATATTCAATCTCTTGATGATAACAATTTGGAAACATCGATTAAAATAGCAAATGAAAATAATCCTTCCATTAACGCGAAAGGTGAGAAAGGGAGCATATTATATCTTTTAATACTTTTTTTTACTAATGGTTGATCATGAAGCACTTCTAAATTTTGTCAAGTATCATCAAGAAACGAGCAACTACAATTTCAATCTGTGCCTAGTTTTTCCTGTATTCTTTTATTCCTGATCGTTAACTCTTCAATAATTAAAAAACATATAAATATCATTTAGTAATTTCGCACTTAGAGAATTTTAATTATTATTATACGTATGTTTGGAAAAAAATGATATACATAAATACAGTACACTATGTGAGTTGTATGAGCGCTTACTTCTATAACAAAAAAAACAAATAAATACATCATCGAAAAACATTTCAAATAAATGTTATTAATTTTTGTACAAAATACTTTAAGAATATCTATACAATTTTTCAAATCACTATAAAAAGTAATTTTAAAATAATTTTATTCTAGCAGTTCTCAAAGTGCTCCGATTCAATATTAATAAATGCTAGAAGTCGATTCATTCGAAATCTATATACCTAAACAAGGGGTATAGAGTGCAGACGAATAAAAGAGTCAGTGTTGTTATTGTTAGGCTGAATGCAACATGTGATGGACCATTAGCTTACCAAGAAAAAACATTTTTGTATATTTTTGCATATTATATGTAGTTTGAACTGTTTTACACATCTAAATTTCCCACAATTACATAAACATCCGCAGTCTAATAATAAGTACATGTATATAATAAATTGTTAATAAATTGTCATTTTTTACACTTTATCCCTGTTTTTACAAATAAATTGTATTTCATATGTATATCCAAATTGGAAATTTTTAATTCTGAAAATATAATATAGTATAATATAGAAAAGCCCGCTATTGCCATGTAGTACTAATCTATACGGGTAGAGGGTACTCAAGTTGTGCTAACAAAATTATTGAGTTACTTACCCTGGGTCATTCTCAGCCATTCTTGTTTGAATATTTAGAACAATTCAAAGGGTGAACCATTCAGATATTAAAGCCATTCAGCTTGGTTCAGTTTGTTCAAGTTTGTTGAGTTTATTCCGCAGATGGAACTCTACGTTTAAAGTTATTTTAGTTTAACTGTAAATATATTTAGTAGAACAGTTATTTAGTTTTTAGTAATAATATAATATTAACTTAAATTTAATATAATTACATAGTTGTTCATGGTAGTTATTAGTGGTAGTTTAGTTTAAAGTGACATGGAAAGTCGTTCTTCGAACAAAATAACTGTTTTGACTATGCAACAACGGCTGGACATTCTGCAAGATTTGAAGACACAACCTGTTTCAAAGATTGCTACAAAGTATCATGTACATAGGGCAACAATTCATCGAATAAAAAAAAATGCTGTAAGCATTGGTGCATTTGCAGAAAAGAGTAAGCAAGAGAAGGAACGGCGAAGACTTAAAAGACCAATGTATGAAGAATTGGAGCAATATTTTCTGGCATGGTTCAGGGAAAGAAGGAGACTTGGTCATGCTTTATCAGATGCTATACTACTCAAGAAAGCTACTGAAATAAAAAATAGTATCCCATCATGTTCAGATTTTAAAGTGAGCAAAGGTTGGCTTCTGAATTTTAAAAGGCGCAACAACATATATTTAGTCCATCGATATGATAACAAATCCATGAAAGACCAAGTCACAGAATCTGTATCTGAGGAAGCAGAAAGGAAAATTGTCATCAAAGAGGAAGTGTTTCAAGAAGGATACAAAGAAAAAGAAAGCAATGCCAATAAAAATCAAGAACATGTTAAACGACAAGAAGAAATACTTGATTGTAGAGACCAGCATGAGAATAATAAGAATGGAATAACATATTTACTGGAAAGACTAACGCATCATAGTACAACAGCACTGCCTCATATTCAGATAATGTTAGAGGGTTTAAAACAATATTTTTTAGTTGACAGAAGCAAGTAAAAGGTAAGGATAAAGGGAAATAGACAAAACCAGTCTGAACACCATTTCGGAAAATATCATGTAAAGGAATTCAGGACACACAGGAGTTGTGACAAGTGTAGTTAAAATTCATCACTTTAATTAAGATAAGTACTTCTACACTGGTAAATTTACAATGTACACAGTAAATTATCCAAGAAACTTTGGAACTCAGGATCGCTCTGGAACATACATTGTACGTGGAACCGTTTTCAGCATCTCCCAAATTTCAAGCCGAGCCGCGACAACTGGACTTTGTATTTTGCCGGCAGCGACGGTCGCAAAAAAGGACAGCGAGTGAAAAAGAAAGTAGAATTGAGTATCAAGGCAGCCGCAATGGTTTCAATTTTACCTGCGTATCGGTGAGACAACACTAATGCAACAATGAAAATTTTTTATTTTTGGTTTTTTGTTAATTCGCTAACTGCATTTGTCCACCATAGTGGACGCCTACTTTATCGCTTTAGCAACAATATTTGGAACATTTCTGGACGATCGGCAGTACGAAACTTCTTTAAAGGACATTCAAATATTAGAAAAACGGTGTTCTGTGACTACTGATTTGTTATTTATCGTGAGCAAACACATTATTTATAAAAAAATGTTTTAAATTGTTTTAAAATGACTATTAGTTCTTGATTTTATGGAAAGAATTTGTGTACAAAGTACTAAAAAGATGCAGTCAGCGGTTTAATGAAACTTTTATTAACATATTAGTGAGATTTTTCAAGTAGATTGAACATATCCAGAATGTCATGATTACATATGCCCCGCGTTACAGAGCACTCCATGTGTTAACTGCACTGTTTTCAATGAGTAGTTTGGAGTAACATAATAGATGTAATTGTATTAAATGCGTTTATTTTATTTACGAACGAAAATTCTGATTATAAGAGAGAAGTGACTGAAAAAGACTCTTTTTTAAAGAATTGTGTATACAGCTGATTATATCATATATGAAAAGAAGATCGAGGAATATTAATTTACAAATAAGTATACTGGAAGATAGAAAATTCATTGCTGCACCAGAAAATGAAGATATACCGACCAAAATTTTGACACCAAAACGTTGCTTTATGTGGCCAACCAAAAAAGACGGCAAATGTGATAGAGTTTGTGTCAACTGTGACAATCCGATATGTAAAGACGTACAATTTATACGTGTAAAAAATGTAATTAGTAAGTTTTGATACTAATACCATTTGTATTTTATAATAGTGTTGATTTATGAATACACAAATTTATTTTATACTGTATAAGCTGCTGTGGGTCTTTTTCATCCCCAATATGTAAATCTGATGAATGCCAGATTCATGCATCATACGGGCATGCTGCCCGTGTGGGCAAGAAGCGGGCTCCTGTGGGGGCGATGCGAGGCAAGAAACGTCACGACATATTTGTGTATTGGGATATCTGGACACTTCTCGCACAATTTAATCTAAACCAGAGTATAACTCGTATAGATTAATAATCATTTATGTTTCTTTTTATTCAAAAAAGCTAGAAGCAACCTGATCGTGTGTCAGCCACGCGAGAACGGTGCCTTTATATTAAGTAATATTATATGTAAGTAGTATTTAAGCGAATTGTTATTAAATTTATATAAATACCATTGTAAATTGTATATTTTTTTACGATTTTTCAATAAAAAACAGGCAAATCATACATATGCGTTATTCATTAATCCCAGCACTACCTCCATTCTTATTTCTAATTTCAATTTACCAAAAAAAGAATAAGAAACAATAAATAATAGCAAAATAATATATTTTCAAAATTTAAAAAAAACCGCAGGAAACCTGGGAAATCGAGACATGCTGTCCACTTTGAACGGCTAGGGCTGTTTTCACTCCTTCAACGTGGGTGAGAGCAGCTAAAAAGAAATACGTATCAAATATTTTGATGAGAACTACAATCTCACAGAGTTCTATAAAAATCGGCGATTGTCAATTCGGGATATTTCCTTGTGAGTCCACGTCTGCTACGAGGTCGAAGCAATTAGGTCGTAAATAACCGAAACGTCTGCTCCGACCTCTGCTAAGGTGCTCGGACAGGGCCAAACAGCGTCAACTCAACATGTGTCCGTGAAATTTTTTTAAAAAGGTGCCGTCCCACCGCCTCCTACCTACAGCGCCGAGGGGTCACCTCTCGACCTCGACTGCGTAGGCCGACCGCGAAAGGAGGTGGTACCCCCAGTACCACCCCCTCGGCCCAGTTGCCCCGCGGGTGACGCGAGAGTCATCGCAACCCGCACCGCTTGTAACGACCAAAACTACTCATTGTATATATTGAACACACATTACCTCCGTACCATCGATAAGACAGCCTCTAAACTCTAAATAGTGACTAATATCTGAACTATGCCCCATGACTGTATTCCCCTCCCCAAAAACCAGCATTACCGAAATTTGTATCTATTCCGCCTATATAAAACCTAATGACAACTTCAATAAAACAGAGAAGTCTTGTAACTATCAAAGAACAAGAGCTGTGTCCATTTTCTCTCCGACCAAGCATCTACGGAACTCGGTCGCTGGGCGCCTCCTACCATCACGTTACGTTTCCCCGTAACACGCTGTATGTAGAAGAGGAAGGAGGCGGTTCAGGGTGCCCAAAGGCCGATCCCGCCTCCAGGGAGAGGGACGGCCGCGGACGTAGCAACTTGCCGCCTCCGCGCCTTCCTCACTCCTCTTCTTTCGCCCCGAACGGGATCGGACCTTTCCCGAAAAAACAGTTTTCTCCTATCCTCACTGTCAAATTTTAATCATTTGATTACAAAAGAATGCTTGACCACCAAATATTCTAATTGGGCCACCAATTAATAGAAGGCGTTACTGCTTCGACTAAGCCTTCGCAGAACAAGATCGATTAAGAAATATGTTTTATCCACTAAAATGTGTTTCTATGTACCTGTATTCACTTCTCAGTCAATCCTAGGTTTCGATGCTTGTCGTACTGCAGGGATACGAATTTTCATGTATTCTGCTTTACTTAATGACCACCAAATGTGTCAATTAAGTCACCAATCATTAGCACACCTTTCTACATCGATTGATTCATTTGAAAAGACAATCAATCCAGAAATGTCAGTTTTATCGACTTTAAACGTGCGTTGTGTAAGGAGGCCGACAATAAATAAATGGTGATAAACGAAATAAAATAATAATTTATTAGACAATCTCTTTTAATGTGTATCCGGCGACGCAATCCTACGATAACAACCAAACCCCGTCGCGTTGCTATGGTTGCTATGGCCTGAATATGCCTTCCGATATAATTATGTCTTACAGTTGGTACACCTGTATCCTGAAATGCCAGATGACTACATCGTTTTTTTCGTTTTTTATAGTGTTGCGTTCGCCTTAGTGAATTTTAAAGCTTCGTGGGAAATATGGCGTGAGCTAGCGCCTATGGGGCGCTTTTAATTGTGAAATTGTATTTAAGTATTCAATTAAATAACAACTTCAATTTAAACTGTTCACAATTCTTTAATTTTAATTTCAATATTTTCTTGACACTTATGTAAATGAATTTACTTTTACAAATACTTTATATGTTTCGAGAACGCGTCTGGGTAGTTGTAATGTTCAGAGATGAATGGCGGAAAAAAAAAGAAACAAGGAGCGTCATCTCCTTGCCCAATTATAAAAACAAATACAATTTGTTTATTATCAAAATCTCTTAGATACCGACATCCAATCAGGAAATTATTAATTAATTAAAACGACTTCCTATTTGCCAATCCATTCCCTGTCATTTATCAACTGTCCAGTTCGCGAGTGTTTAACATCTTAGCATTGATTTGCATATTAGGAGAGGGAGATAAAGAGAAATTATTCAAATATAAATAATTTAAAATCTATCCTTTTGGATGAGTATCTACTGATTTCAATTCGTTTCCTACATGTGCCAACTTCACCTTTCTCCCTTCTCCTATTACATTTGTTTCAAACTTCGCGCTTTCGACACTCGCATATCGATAACCCTAAATATCGCTTGAACTAAAGACACTACCCGCGACAACGTAACAATAGAAACTAAGTACCACCAAATGTTTTAATTAGGCTAGCAATGACCACCAAACGATTACGCATAGCTTGAACATTTAAACTACATCGCCAGCGAAAAAAAAAATCGGCTAACTTCACGGTTAAATTTTGATCTCTTAATTACAAAAGAACGCGTGACCATCAAATGCTCTAATTAGAACACCAATGACCACCAAACGATCACCAATCAATTGGGTATAATGAAAAGTTAAAAAGTTAAAGTTGTCCGGCTAACTTCACATAGGTTTCAATATTGCTTCACGGGCACGAACCACCTTACGGAAGTAGAAATCCCTACGAAATCGCGCAACACATGACAGTTCTCTATTTAGATTAGTCATTTTGGCTACCTTGGTGAGGATTTCTTTAATTTTAACATTTGTCAGTAGAGTGCATCTCGGTCCTGGTCTTTTCTCTTCATCATGGCGGTGAGTGTGCAGTTGTTACATTGAAAACAATTTTCTAATCTCTAAATATCAACAGCATCAGCCTCGGAATCAAGATTTCTTGTAAATTACAGACAAAATAAGATTACAAATTTAATGTAGATAAAATTCTTTTTTCTTGATACATTTGTGTTTAAAGTTTTTCATATGACAGATGCACAAGGTTTATACCAGCATGTACTGCTAGCATAACCTACATGCTTGTCTGTAGTGTTTATCTGATTTATAAAATGTTTTTACTTTTAAATTAAGGGACACTTAAACGAAAGGGGTTGATAATATTTATTTTATAGTCTACTGCTGTAAAATGTTTAATTTTCTAATAGTATTTGTTATTAAACACAACAACATATAAGTAGTCTATGATTGCAATCGAATCAAATGTGTTGATAAATCATGGATTTCCTGTAGGTTTCAGAGAAGGCCCCCGAAAAGAAGGCTGAAAAAACTGAAAAGAAGGCCGGAAAGGCCGAAAAGAAAGTAAGGAAAGAGCCAAAAGATGCATCGAAGAATGTGATGCGCGATGTTCGCATTCGTAAGCTTTGCTTGAACATTTGTGTGGGAGAATCTGGTGACAGACTCACTCGTGCTGCAAAGGTACGTTTTATAAATATTGCTTACAATATTCGTTCTATATTTGTAACTGCATTCAAGTATTTCAAACAATAGACTATGATATGTCTCAGTGTATTGTTACGAGTTTCGTGGGAACTTGATGTTTTATCAAGTAAACTCAATTAAGTCTTTATCATATTTCTATTCCCATTAAATTTGTGAAGACGATAAATAGTATATATGTTGAATTATAATTTTACAGTTTTGTAGTTTTATTTGTGTGATACCCTAATTGTGTGTAGGTATTGGAGCAATTAACTGGACAACAACCAGTCTTCTCCAAAGCAAGATATACTGTACGATCCTTTGGTATTCGACGTAATGAAAAGATTGCAGTGCATTGCACAGTCAGAGGTGCCAAAGCAGAAGAAATTTTGGAACGTGGCTTAAAAGTAATTCTAAATAGTTCGTTTATGCAGATATAAGTTATTTCTACTTTCATGCTTAAAAAATTCTTTTTCTAAGGTACGAGAATATGAATTGAGAAAAGAGAATTTCTCTGGTACTGGAAATTTTGGATTTGGTATTCAAGAACACATTGACTTAGGAATTAAATACGATCCCAGCATTGGTATTTATGGTTTGGATTTCTACGTTGTACTTGGACGACCAGGTTAGTAGATTTGTATGTTGTATTTTATTATACTGTAAAGAAATTAATATATGCACATTATCTGGTATCATAGATACTTCTGTATTATATGTTGTGTCTATTTTTTTTTTATAACGCATGTGCTAAAGAAAATGCTTCATATTTGCAACCCATGCTCACTTCTTATACTGGGCGTGTTACTTAATTGATGCAACATTACTTCCTATTTTAAAAACTTTAATGGTTTCATTCTGTTACAAAATTATCCATTTGTATACCGCGCAGCATGATCGCATTACTCGTATTACGTGTCGAAAAATACGACGGTATCAATCGTGTAGTTTCACTGTATTAGCAATATTTGTAAAATGATGGTTTTCAATTGTTAAACAGAAGTATTTTCAAAAATTCGTAACCATAGGAATTTTGACTGTGACATAATCAATTATTGTACTATAATTAAAAAATTTTTCGGCGTAATACGAAAGAAAGAGTCTTCAATTGCACCGCTTGACACTTGTCGATCTGATTTCTGCAACAACCCGCAGCACTCAAACGATTAATAATGTATATAATAAAGTAATTGACTCGAGCATTCAATAAATATAATTTTTCGTGTTACTTACATAATTTTCTATTCTGCAGGTTTTAACGTAGCTCATAGGAGAAGGAAAACTGGAAAAGTCGGTTTCCAACACAGACTTACCAAAGAAGATGCAATGAAATGGTTCCAGCAAAAGTATGATGGTATTATTGTAGCTGGAAAGAAGTAATATACATTTTTGTATTTTACAATCCTTCCATAAAAACTTTGAAAACAAATTATCTGTTGTCTAATAACTCTTTTACAATACCTCGTAACGTTCGTCACTACTCTGCTTTTAGAAAAAATAACCTCCATTTGGTTATTTTATTTTCAAATTTCAGGCTTAATAATATTCAATTAATACTTTTAAAAAATAAGGTTAATTAAAGAAAATGTATACTCAGTCATACATAGAATCTTAAAGACTTTATTTATAACCACCATATTTTATAATCACCAAAATGTTAAAACACAAATATAGAATATCAATAAAATCCTCGTTTTCACAGAGACAGTATAGAATTACTATACAACCTAGTACCACAAACTTAGAAATCATTGCACTGTTGTTAGCTTAATGTGTAGTTTTTTAATGATTATCACAACTGCTTTTTTTATACAAAAAACATGGTTATAGTAGTAATAGTACAGTAGGTGAATATGCAAAACGTTCTGTTTTGTCGATGGACATGATCTTGTTACTTTCCATATATGTTTCTTACAATGATCTCTGCTCGCAGTATTATGTACAAATAAATTAATATAGAAATTTAATTCTCATTGGGTAGATAGGTTTTGAAACATTAGGCCTAGTTTTCTAAATTACAGGAAAGGAACATTACAGTAAATTGCATGTGTTTAATTATATTAAAGATTCTACATTAGAGATGTGAACATTCCTGTATTGAAAATAATAGTGTCCCTTATTTCTTATAGTTTGATTGTTTTTGATATGCATAAACCATGTCAAATTCAATTATCTAGTCATACTAAAATTCAATTGCCTAACCACATAACATAGATACAAGATGCGGCCGAAAGTATGGTACAATCAAGCAGGAAGTGATGCTTTATACAAAAATAAATCAAAAGTGTAAAATAAAATTTTATCATTCGAAATTTAGTTTTCGAGAAGATCGATTTTGAAAATCCGTTGCGTACGTATACACAACTCGGATACAGTTCGTCAAGCGACACTACGTCTGTATAATGTCTATTGTGTTTGTATACAATGTTTAAGTACTAAGTATGAGTTTCTCAGGTGTCATATTTACATGAGCTATCAGTTTTCATCGAACTATTACGACGGTGAAACAGTAATACAGAATACATATGTCGATATGATCCAACAAGGCTCTGGATGCCTTGTAACGGATTTACTCTACACTTTTGTTTTACTTTTCCAGAAAGAATCATTTCCTGTCCGCTTGCACCATTCTTTTCACCGCACTCTATATATAATAATACCTAATAAAATTATTTACAGAAAACGTTTACATCTCTATTATGGTCATATTTTAAATACTATTTCAAAAATAAGCGAAATTACACATTAATTCTAGCTCCTCGTTTCACTTTACGAGAATCATTTACTACGGGTATTAGAAAAAAAAATCTTTCCAGACTGATTTTGTAATACCAGATACGATTTAAGCAAGTCAACGTTAATAAATATACATTTTTAAATAATTCATATTCTATTATTAACGTACGACATACGAAAATGAATTATTATCGATCAATATTGATACCAAATTAATTACGGAAATTATACGCAACAGTATATGTAGAGTAAAAAAACAGTAATTTCTTGTGATAGTAACTTAATTTTTCAATACATACATATATGCACAAGTATGTATACACCAATTATGTTTCTTAGTTTTTAAAAGTTATTTTCTAGTACCCAACAAATTAATTTTCAAATATAACTCTAATGTCATTTGAAATAGTATAATTTTGATTCTCACTTATTCCAAGTTTAATACCTAGTGTTTCAACTTTTTAATAGAATTTGGACGAAGCAAAGCAAGAATTTTTGTTCTGTACAATCTGTTGCTTACATTTCAGTTTTTAAATATTTAAGCTTATCTTTGGTTTGAATCTAGTGATAAACGTAGTGAATTAACATCAGAATGCGTGTATTGAAATCGTAAGAAGTATTTAAGAACTGTGCTTTTAATCTCCTCTTGACGTCCACAGGTAGTTGCACGAAACTATTCTCTCTTAACATTTACCTAATTTGTTGCAAGAGGCGAATAAAAAGGCAAGATATTTCCTTCAGTCTCCAAATTGTTTCCTTATTTGGACGCCATTTTCTCCATTCCTATTCTTTGCTACAAGATCAAAGAGTTTTTTCTTCATACCATGTATATATAACTTATGTATTTAGTCTTTTGTACTGGAATTTATATTATATTACACTTTTCTCTGAACGTTTAATATGTTCAAGTTTATACAGTCATGTACAAGTTTAATATACTGTAACATACCATTAATATGTAATTGTAATATCTGTTGGGTATATGTGTATTTCTGTATGCAAGCACACTAATAAAGTATTATTGGACAAAAGTCACATAAATATTTTTCTTCTACCCGACTCAGTAATGTATGATATAAATTCAATTATGTATATACTTTTTAAATAGCAGTATATGCTTAACATATTTTGTTAAAACAAATTTTGTCATTGTACATTTATAATACATTTATACGTACAGCCGATCGATAGTTTCAAAATTCCAATACAAACGAATAAATTACATTGTTTGTTCTTGTACTTGTACCATTTATTTATCATATATATGTATATATGATAAAGAAACATTTTTTTAGTCAATTCAAAAAAATTTCTTCCCATGCCTCTTAAATTATGATACAATTTAATGAAGCATGTGTAATTTGTCAATATCTTGTACGTAATACAACGTTATTTTACATACACAAAACAATCAATCTTTTTTCATTTTGATGTTATATCATTACTAAAAAATAGTACCTATTGAAGGACTTTTGAAACAAATTCTATTTATATACATACAAGCATATGAAATATTATATCTTACAAGCGTAAGAATATTTTACCTGACACTGGTTCTTTTTCTGATTAAATACTACATCCGTTAATAAATCTGTTTCACTATTTATTTTTTATTTTCTGCTAAATCTTTTTAAATGCAGCTACATAAATTAAATTTGAAAAAATAATTTTAATACAAGTGAGAAAGTGGATGTTTAAGAATTATTATTACCTTAGAAATTTGAATGCGTAAAGTCAAATATAGCTGTATAAAAAACGGACTAACGATATTTCTAAAAACATGGGCGACACATAAGTATCGTAGAATGTGGTACAAGGGAAAGCAATGACAGTAAAAATAGTATAGCATCAGTATGAACTTAATAAATTTACATACAGAGCAGAAAATCTTAGTACTCATGCATAATAAATTTTACTAACCATTAATTCGTTCAATAAATCAATAAATCTTATATAAGCATAATAGACAATGTCTACTTTCATATATATAATTTAAATGTTGTACACTGTGTACAAAATCTAGTATATTTTTTCGCTTCAAAAAATATCTTAAAAAGCTGTAAAATATAACTCATGGCTTCTTATTCAATTACAAAGTGTATTTGAATACATGTGTATGAATACATTTTCGGTTGCAAAACAAAATTTCTGACATTTTGAATTTTGAAACGCTTAATGCTATTTGAAGAAGAGCAAAGTACATGTTTGTACAAACTTTTGTATAAGAAACCGAATTTCGTGAAAACCAATATAGACCTCCGAAATATGATTTGAAAAATAATTTACAAGTAAAAATTAATGTTATTTATGAAAATACTGCAAAAGTGATATGTTACGATTAAGCAGAAAGAATGATGAAGCGTCAAAATTGTTAAAATATAAGTCGCATAATCTATAGAATATAAATTTTTACTTTTAAATTTCGCAGCTATTAAAGAAAAACGTTAACGTTACCTCTTTAAAAAAAATGCTAACATGTACTTTCATGCATACTGTGTACCAGCGTAGTGATAAGATTACCCAAAAGCAAAACTTATATAATTGTAATATATTTACCTTCTGTAAGATAATCATTCTGTCATTTAAATAAAATACCATATTTCATCAGATTGAGATTAAAAATAATATGAAAGAAATACATCATCATAAAACATCTCCAATCTACATAAAGGAAGTAAATATGTTATTACATAATGTTTTGTATCAATATAGAAGCCCACAAAGACTATTCTATATTAAGATCTCGTTCTCAGGTATAAAAATAAATATAGCAATATTATGATACATTGCTACAGTAATGAGAAGATGCAATTTATGTGTACTGATTTTAAACAGAATCTGATAAATTGTACCTTATATTCTTTCGAATTGTTACTATTTAAATATAAAAAAATGCAACGAAATTACTGATGTACAAAGCTGCACAATGTGTTACTTTCTTGCAGATCGATATATTCTGTCAATATTGTGCTTTTCAGCTTCTGTAAATCCTAAAATGCTTTCGATAGCATTAAGATGACCCTGATGATTTTCTTTGTCGGTTAGGAAATAATAGATAGCCGATTTTAGGAACTGCAAGGTGATCTCTGGATCAAGGTTACCCTGCTGACTTCTGGCTTCTATAATACGTCGATACATTACCTGTTTAAAAAATTCACATTTGTTAGTAATATATATATATATGACACATAACATACCTTTGCCTTATGTGCTGCATTTTCAATTACATACATGCCATGGCAGTGAACTTTTATGAAAATTAGATTCAGATAGAATACAACAGAAATTATGTAATCTAATAAATATAATGCATTAATAAATTTAAATGGAAAGCAGATTGTATAAATTCACTTTGAATAAAAATTTATGTATATTAATATGAAACTGTTTGTTCTTCTTTTTATGATTCAATGCCATAATAATGTCTGTTGGGTATTGGTGCAAGCATAATGCTTAAGCACGTGCAAACTTACACGACTAAAGGATAATAAGAGGCTGTTTCTTTCAAGTGCACAGGATAGTCTCCCCAAATTTAATGGTAACGCATATAAACCAACTACAATTGTGCTTGGTAATCAGCATGCAATCGCTGCGACGAAGCATTCAGTAATAAATTCACCCATTTGTGAAAACATCTTTATAACGAAACTCATAAATGGTAGCACGTAGATCCAATTCCTGCCACTATAGTCACCGCACATATTATTTACGAAATATTGCAAGTTGTAGTTTATGGTGATGTCTAAAACGTAAATCTTATTCAATAGTGATATTAATCGAATCAATTATTAATAATTAATACTTCATAATTGCATTGTTTAAATAAAAAAATTTTATTTTAAATTATGTCAATTGAATGATAAAACTATTTTTGTATTAGTGCGATATCACTGTAAGATAAATAATCAGAAAAATCATTTCACTCGTTTATGCAATGATTTTTTTAAGTAATTTTTCTGACAGTCTTTAAGACTGGTTAACAAACTGTATTAACATTTACTAACTAATATTAATGCAAATTCCATTTTTTTTAAACAGAGCGAATGCTTATGTTCATACAAGCCATTTATCAATCTATTTACACGCTTAGTTGTTATGTATGTTCATGCTTGAAAGACAGGCTATACATACACTATACAATGGATGACTTCACTAATATTTAACTGATAACTGAATTGTTATTGTATATAGAAATTAAAATAATCATTTATAATGAATTGTTACATTATAGTCATAATTACAAAAACATAAAAATAATAAAACTGCAGATCACATCAGCACTGCTATTGTAATAAAATATGGCTATAAATTATAAACATTTGCACAGTAGCAAAAGGATCATTTAAAGAATAAATCTTAAAAAATCAGGTAACTATATCTTTTTACCCTAATCAAGAGTGTAGAAAATACAAAGATACCACACACTAAACGATATTCCTGAGATAATATAAAGATACACACATTGTTTTGCAAACAAAATCTGTAAAGGGCAGAAATAGAAAACGAGGGCAAAGAAAAGGAGCATAAAGATTGCTGGTGCATCCTGTATGTGAAACAAATACAACGCAGATGCTTAATTAACAGTGGATATGAATTGCATCGCGTGGCAGTTTAGCAGAAATACAGACCTTACGTGTGCCAAGGACCCAGAGAGAAACAGCCTCCTGAGCACTTAATAAAATTTGGCTACGATCGGCTGAAATGTGAGGTTCAGGCGAGTAGCTTGTGTCCTGGAGTGTGAGCGGCGACCAAAAAAAGTGGCACATCATTAGTACAAGAGAAACGAACTACGGAGATGCTCAGAAAGTGATGCACAACAGAAACTCCCAAACTGTATTGTTTACACTTATATGCATTTACGTTATAACATATTATTATTTTCGCTTCCCCTTGTCAACTACATAGATTCACATCTGAATTTTCATTTTTAAGAACGATTTCGAAACTCGTTTAACAAATCAGTTAAAGAAATGAAGTACTGCTTACAAAATATTAATAAAAGAAGCTCACATTGCTATGATATTTCATTTTTAAATGTTGGTGTATTAAAAAAGCATAAAAGGTTTTAAAAAAATCAATTAAAGTTTAGTTATGGTGTTAAAGAAAAATATAAACAACTCATTTGCTTTGCTACATGAAATGAAGGTAATGTTAATGACGGCCACTGATGGAATATGGAAAGGGATCGTTAAAAAGAAAGCAATGTGACAAATAACATTTGCAGACAAGATATAAAATATCCTATTTCCTGTGTATTGGAATAAATTTTTTGAATCAAAGAAGAAAATTACTTTTAATATCACGAAATAGTAATTATGGCTAATAATTTTGTAAATATTATATCCATTGTAATAAATTTTACTATACTGTGTTAAAAATGTAATTCATGCTATTGGATGTAGCTATAAATATAAAGCTTCAGTTGTATGATTTCAGGCATAACAATCGTATAGTTCCATTTTTAATGTGCAACACGTGTAATATTACCATTGTAATACTGACAGCGTAAAAATAATAAACCGATTCAAGTGGTAATATTTACCTTGACATTTTCTAGTTCCGCTCGAGTAACTGTTAGTTGTTGAAGTAACTCTGCAATTGAAACCTTTGGTGGTATTTGATGCGCATGTTCAAGTATCTATATTGGTGAACAAACAAACAAAAAAAACAATTATTTTCAGTTCTAGTTATAAATATGATTATAAAAATTACAATATTGCAAAATTGTGCACCATAAAATAATTCGCTACTCCAAACCAAATCAATATCAGTTTCTAAAAATATCAGAAATTTATATCATCTTTAAAATATTCATCACTGTTCTCCAACATCTGACACTACTTTTATTAAACAAAAAGTCAAGAAAACATTATTATTTTTCAGGAAACAATGACATGAGGAACATTTTAGAAGTATATACAAAGCATTATATGGGGTGAGCTAATCAAAATTACCACCTAAAGTAACTCCCCAGTCAGCCAAACCTCTGCAAAGCCAAATTTTGTCCAATGCTTGTTATAATGTTACGTACTTAACATGACTACAAGTTTGATGCAAGAATCAACAACTTGCACGGAGATTGGCAGCAGATTATGTTGCAAGACTTGCGCTAATTTTCTGCCAATTTGTTTTATCACTTTGTCAGCAGGCTTAGCCTGCAAAACCCAAGTCAAATGGTGGAAATTTGCGTGAAACTTGCATACAATTGATTATCAAGGTCTTGGGGGGGGGGGGGTCAGGTGAATAGAGTTCAATTTTTTAGAGATCAAGGTAACCTTGAGATTTTTAAACGACATCATGTATTTTTTGTAGTACTCCGTTGTAGTCGCTAAAAAGACGAATGCAACGACCTATAACTTCAAATTTTTTTCGTAGCGCTATCGCGGATACAGTCAAGCGTCAAAAACCGCGTTGCGAATATCAAAATACGTGGTAACTTAGGTCGATCTTAGGGCAGATACAGAGCTGACTGGATACAGTAGTCCATGTCTGCAGCAAGTAAATCCTGAAATATTTATTGTTGAGTCGTTATTTTCCTTTTGAAGTTCCAATTTTCTTGCTGGTTTATAAATTTTAAAAAACGTTATAACCAATAATATGTTAATCGTAAGCAGAATTAAAGTTATGACTCCGACAGAGGAAAATGTTGAAATTTTAAAATGTTGAAGTGAAGTTTCATGAGTTGCTAATCTGTTTGCTTGCTGTTCCAGTTCCTTTAGTGATAATGCAGTTGGAAGATCATCCCAATTTGTAGTATTAAACATTTTTTGGCAAAGTTTACAGACAACGAGTTATTTCAGGTAGTAATTTTTATTAACTTATCCTGTATGTATAGGTAATGTGGGAAGTCTACGAACTATGAAACCAATTTGTACAGCACTGAGAACTGCATTATGCATACTAATCTCAAAAGGTTTTCAAAAAATACATTTTACCTGATCTGCCTGTTCTATACGCGCTGCTTCTTGTCCTTTGGCATACATTTTCAGGTACATATGTTTATTCCTCTCCTCCTGCTCACTTAACAAAGTCTTCTGCTCGGCAAGTTCCGCTTTCACAGCCTCTAATTCTGTTTCTAATTCACGAGCCCTAGCTTCCGCGGCGTCAACGTTTGGTCTCATCTCGCAATAACGTGTATTCACTTCAGCCAACTGATTCAGTAAACTTTCCACCTGTAATTGAACAAATATTCAATCAACCGGTCTACATAAATGTTAAGTTATGCAACGAATAAGGCGATCACGTTAAGTCTTCATTCTCGTGTCGTATCATCGTATCCAGTGATACGAAAAAAAATTCCAGATAATTATTATTAAAACCGCAAATACTACTTTAATTTCGAAAATTCATTTTACAACTTTTAACGTTACGATTATTAGACGAATGTTTTATACAAATTAGAACAGTTTTTGACATACGGTCCGTTATACTGAATCGTGTATTATGAATTTTGAAAATGTAAGTTCAAATTTGTTGTTAGCAGCAAAGTTCTCGGAAACAATTTTTTATATTATCGGGCTGGCATAAAAGTCTACAGCGAAGCGTATTTTCAACAATCCCAGACTTGAACGTAGTAATTTATTTCTGATTGCTAATGTGGACGTACTTTGTCATTGTGCTTTTGTTTCAGTTCTTGAAGTTCGTCCACGTGTCTACGGTGCATCTCCTCGATCCTAGCCTCATAGAGGTTCACCAGCTTCCGTCGCTCCTCGTCTCTTTCGGGGGTGGTCGATCTGGCGTACGTTCCAGGAGCAGCAGCAGCATCATCAGCATCATCTTCGGCAATTTTATTGGGCGTTCGGGTAACATTACTGGCCTCTGGTTGCGCTTCCGGTAGATATACCGAATCCTTCGAGTGGATCGATCCATCCTCGAAGTGGCCGGAGTCCGCCAAAGAAGAAGGCAGGTCCGGTTGGACACGTTTCTCTGGGGTTTCCGGGCTCGGAATCTTCGGTGGCGCCCCCTCATCCGGTAGATCCTTGGTCGGCGATTCCGGCGAGAAAGGATTATTCTCCCGTACGGTAAGAGCATCGCTGCTGTCCGTTCTCTCGTCGGGACTGTTCAGAGAAGCTTTGTACAATCTCAGTTCCACCACCTCCTTCGTTAACCGAAAGATCTCCTGATCCTTCTCCTCGATCTCCTTCCGCGCCTCCTTCAATAAAGCCTGGAAAAACAAAGTACCGTGAGAACGAGAGACATGATTTATTTATTTCTTTGTTTTCGAACGTAAAGTGCAACTTGGAGAAGGGTCTTAAATTTTTCTGTTTAGTATAAAAGGAGGAACTGGGAAACATTTCCACTCAACGGTTTATTAATATTCTTTACAGTAGGTTAGACTTTGATTCATATATGGGTCATTCCACGGGAAACTGGACACTTTTTGCAGTAACATTTCGGATTTTGTTGATACTTGGATATGTTGTAGTCTTTAGTGATATATGAACGTATCTCAACAGAGTTTTTAAAATTTTTTAAAATGTTGATTCTATCGTTGTCTGCAATATAGTGTCTACCTTTTTTAAATCAACCAAAACTGCTGAACTAACAAACTGATCAAAATGGGCTTTGTGGGTGCACATAGTGCAGACATAAGAGTACCTAATAAAAATTATTTAAGTTACAAAGAAAATATTTTTTAAGCATTTATTTTGCAATTGTTTTAAAGAAATGCAATTTTATAATACTAGGGCCTAATTGAAAGATTTGAAGAAAACGAGGATATAGTTCTATTTCTCCTCTTCATGGACTTTGAAAAAATATGGTCATTTTAAAATTGGCCATATGAGAAAATTAATTGAAGTTAACGCTGCGTCAGTTGGATGGTTCCAGTGATCGGAATTGAGAAATTCAGTGACATTTTGCCAAAAAATCAACTTTCCCATATTAATATCTGATCAATGTGTATTGGTTCTTAAATGTCCACTGACTTCGAAGATGAAAAAGCTAAAGAAATGTAATACATATTTTAAATGATATAAGCACTTAAACTTGGATATTTTAAAATTAAAATTTGTCATACAAAAAAACTGTTTTCATTTTCAAGGTTTCCTGAGGACCTCGTTAAATAGTTTGCTTCCATTTTTTTTTCTCACTGAAGAGCATTCTTTTGAGATAAGAAATCATGCCCTGCATTAATAATTACTATGTATAATAGCTTTGAAAAGAAATACTGAATGGAATGTAGAAAATTCTCAAACTGTTTTCCAATTGATAAGGTATATCTCTTAAGTCCCAAAGAATCCCGCATTGCAACAAATTGAAATGTTTTCCACATATCTTCCTCTACAAAATCATGCAGGAATCATTTCCCTTTTCATCCCGCTTTTCAGATTATTACTGTTTAAACACCATATTCCAAACAGTTGTGGTATCAACAATGGTTGAAATCTTCAAAAATCCTTCAGAGTACGTTTATATATCACTAAAGATTATAACATATCCATGTGTGAACAAAATCCGAAGTGTTACTCCGAAAAGTGTCCGATTTCGCGTGGAATGACCCGTATTTGTTGCTTGTTTAATAGGTACAATAGTAAGCTCAATGTGAATTTATTAAATTTTAAAACACATTTATGATACTTGGACTTTCACATTGATATTATCATTTCGATTTGCGTTAATAATACTACGGATAAAGGATTCATGGTCGCAAGAGTCACATATGGCGCCTAACTCCTTTCTTTACTATCACGATTGTTACCGGTATTTTATACGCAACGATGTAAATTTTTGCATTTTGCGATCGTAAATCAATGTCACTTGAATATCATTAATTTCTACACATTTTTGTAAATACGGTAACGATAAGATAATGATAGAGTATAGATACCTACGGAATATTTGTGTAATGGTCGATAAATAATAGATAACAAGTAATTTATTTATATTTCTTCCAAAACCAATGAACTATTTCTTTTTTTCATTTCAGTTTTCATAAATGAATTAATTCTTCATGTGAATAATTATATACGAACATTTTGAATAGCGCTCAACTCTGTATTGTATCCTACGACTCGCATCAAATTTTGGTAACCCTCTATTAGTCGCGGTATATCTCTCAGATATGAGTGACATCCTATGTATACCTAGAGGTTTATTTTTTCATGTAAATAGACCTCTGCACAGGGTTTGTCGCAGGTCAGATAGTACAATCGGGTAGGCGGTTATTTAACACGCAGAAATGCATTGAAAATTTGCAATAAAATTTTCTCCTACTATGTTTTTTCCCAAGATAATCGAATTTGAAAATCTATTGAATTTCCTCTGTAAGTGAATAAGATTTGGCTAACGCGTCTGTTTATCACATTCCGTTTCTACTTATTGCCACCACGAATACACAACATACTTAATTTACAAGTGGCTTTTGTCGAAAACGAAGACTCGTATGAAAAAACTGTATTCTTCTTTTTTGCCTTATTTTTTCTTATAGAATCACCTCTTGCCCGGTTGAACTATCCGACCTGAGACACTCTGTATAACTACTGTGATTATGTGTATGTATGGATTTGCAGACTAATTTTCGAAAGTCCGGAAATATTGTTTTCTTTACTTATAAACAGAAATGTTCCTAAGAACCGACTGCGATGAAGGAAAAATAAGTGTTGTATTGTAACGAATGAAATAATGAAAAAATATTAATTTGTATTTAACTCTCAGAATTCAAATTTAAAATTATGTAGGTATCTTTTAGATACATCGCGAAGATGTTTTGTATTAACACTAGAACTACCAAGCAAATCAAAATGACTTGTCAGTACATTCTTATAACGATGAATAGAAATGTTATATCAATACATTTTTTCAGATCTTTTGCAACTTTTATTACTATATGAATGTGAAGAAATTCCGATCGAAATAGATACGCGTTTATCGTTGACAGTTCTGGTGTTAATATACCTTAAGGTAAGGCCTTGATAGAAAAAATGTAGAAAAATAAAAGACTTAATATACAGTATTCTGCTACTCAACTGTGGTCATCACATATTATACTGTGCAGCATCTGTGTATCCTGTCTGCCTTTTCCTCTTACTCTATTGTTAGAAACCTGTACCGTTCATTACAATTTGAGGGTAATTCGTACCGTTCAGTATTTTTACATCCTATCTAACTACTACTATTATTCTGTAATCTATACTGCCTTTATCACACAAGTAATTGATTCATTTAAAAGCCTTTATATTCGGTTTTTCAAGAAAAATACAATAGTCCTCGTCAAGATATAGCGTGGTCGTAAATTAACAGTATACACAAGGTTGTGTGCAGCTTGCAACTGTAGGATTCCATGCAATAAAACAGAAGCATCTGTCGACTAACTATTGTTGTTCCTTTACTACCAGGGTAACAGTAAATTCTATTTAATATCTGGAATGTTTCAGAGCACTTTAACTTTTTGTACGCTGTTGTCAACAATAAAATCGTAATAAATACTAATATGGGGGTTTCCATTGAGCCTCTTCTACACGGAGTTGAGCAAAATTTTAATTAAATAATACACAATGAAAAGCAGCAGTATCTAAAGCTGCGTCTACACTGTATAGCATAACACATGATATAGCAAAGTTATAAAACGTGATAGAAAAACAGAAAGACAAATTTATATATAATAATATAATGTTACATAACATGTTTCGTGTTATACAGGAAGTTATATGTTATCCATCAAACGTGACACCATTATTAATAATGAGATGCGAAATGTTATACAAACTTTTTATAGACTTGTCCAAAAGATATAATCTTGTAACAAGTTATAAAAATATGTTCTATAGCAAGGCATACAACATTTTGTTATGTAACACAGGTTTGCTACATATATGTATAGTGTAGACGCAGCTGAAGTGTCATTCTTACCTTTAAATAATTAGTAAAATTAAATAATTGTTTTTCAAGTGTCTACTCATTCAAGAAGCATGATTATTTTATTATAAAAATTGCGGTTTCTATGTTCAGACGATTAAAAATGGTGAAGTACTTTTTTTTTAAATCTTTTCTTCGTTATGCAAAACTTTTTATCTAGACAATAAATTTTCCCATTTCTGCTTTTATACCGCGAAAGGATGCCGCTTTCTCTAGAAGACTCCGCCATCTAGCAGCGACTTAAAAGGAAGGAAAATGGCATTGATGTCTTGTCTTGCGACTCTTACCTGAAACTTCCTGACTTGTCTAGCTGCTCTCTGAGTCGGCGTGAGGTACTGTTCATTGTCACCGTTATGATTTGAACAATGAACAACGTATTTTCGTGATCTGCCCGACCATGTGGTGCCGTTAAAGGCGAATGTAGCATGGTCACAGGCGCTCGCTGTACTGCAGGCACTTCCGTAACTTCTTACGCTTTCCGCATCGCTGTCGTCGGCGATTCCTATGCTCGATCCTCCGGAGGCCGCGAGCCCAGGCCGCGGCCTAGCCGGGGTCAATGAAAGGCTCTAAAAAATAAAAGAAGAAAAAGTCGAACGTCAGTCCATGAATTCTTGATCTTCTATCGTGACTACGGCTATTAAAGTGTTGCACAACACAGTCTAAACGCTTCACGTGCTTATTTGAAGGCTTGAATTCTTGAAATTGTTAACAATTGAGTGCCGTATCGGTTATCGGTGACTAACTAACACAGCATTGTCCCTCCCAAATCGTTTTGCATTTTCTTCAAAACATTTCTTATGAAGTTTTCCAACATTTATAAACCACTATTGCATCGCTTTGGTATACATGCGCAAGGACTTCAAAATCATTTCTCGCGGTGCTTATGTACCTATGTGTCAAAACTGGGATCAAAAAGCATGTACCTCACTGATAAGTGTGTGTATGTGTGTCGATACAACGACGAAAAATCTTCTTTTAAAGATAAGTTATAATCGTTTAAACGTCGCAGTTTGGAAGCAATTTTTATTACGCAACACCCAATATATCGCCGTGTCAACTTTTAAACGACGCTACACAATTATCAACGTAAGAATGTGTACTAAATTAAATTTTATGATACACAATGCAATGTAACGTAGTGTTATATAAAATGTATAACAAATTAAAAGTTAACATAAATTTCGCCAATTACACTGTCGTGATCTCAGTAATAGTAGAACAAGAAGTTTTAAAGCCGTCATTTTGATGTGTTTGATAACTATGTTTTAGTATTAAATCGTGAATACAAAGACAAGGTTGGTAAGTAGATTGTGGATCTTATGCATGAATGGAAATCTGCAAAAGTTTAATGCAGAACGAAATAAAAATATTTATTTATAATTGAACCTGCCTGGGACCCCAGTCTATTCTTCTAGTCGCAGTTCTTGTTTCATTTTGGTGCAATATCTGCGCTCAATAAAGCTTTTATCGTACCTATAACTTGAGAAATGTAATAATTGTTAAAATGGATATGATTCTTTGATTTTGATTTTTTATTTGATAGCAATGAATGTTTGGAATTTGCGTGTATATTCGCAGACTAGCAAGAAAACGAATGAGTAGGAAGCAAAATCATTTGGAATAGGGTTGACAGAGCGCGAATGTCAAAGGAGAACACTACATTCCTGTTATTATAAATTTTTTTATTAATTAATTTAATATTCTAAGCAAATAAGTGACAGTGCTATGACAAATTCACTAGTATTTAAGTTAAATTTAACCATCGTTATTTAACTTTGTTACACTACTGGGTATTCCAATAAATTCATGTAGATGGCTATAGTTACAATAGTATCAATGCACCATTACTGTCAGTTATCGACCAAACAATTACAAACTTTTAGACGATGTTATTTTTCAGTTTTCAAAATGCATTATACACGGTGTTCTCAAAATTGTAGTACCGGTGATTCTAGAAAAACAAATTCGATTACCTCGAAAACGCAGCCTTAAATGAAAAGAATATTATTCTTTTCTTCGACTTATTTTTGTATGTAGAATCACCACCCGTCCGGTTGTTCCACGATTTTAGGGACACCCCGTATAGCGTTCGTCGAGTAATTTCAGTAATTATCGAACCGTATTCAGTAATGTTCGAGCAATTACTTCGATTTCTACTTAGTCAATTGCCTCGCAGGATATCGCACCGTGTTAATTTATTTATAGAACAAAAAGGATCTACACTCGGACAATAGATCTATAGGTAAGTCGAAACACATGGAATGAATCACACATTTTTTCACGAATATTAATTACTTAACAGACTCGAATACAAGTTTAAATACATAGAACGTTTCTTAACCGCCATCTTGGATAAGAAATAGTATATTTAACAAATATTATATGGGTTTTTAATTAGAAATGTTGTTGTTCGAAGAAACTCTAATTCAGGGATGCACAAACGGCGGTCCTCCGTTGATTTGCTAGCGGCCCACCACACCATGTGTTATTTTAACTTTTAACAAATCACACGATAGGTGATTTTTACAAATTGCAACATGCGTACATCAAAGTAGCTGGTAACGATCAGTTGATTAGTCAACTTTACAGCCACATTTTATCTTTTCAATGCAAGTTAAATCTATTTTAAACCCAATTAACGTCAAAGAATTACGTCAATTTCCATAATTACAAGAAAATGTCAAAAATGTTCAATGTCAACTTAAAGAGTGTATATGTTGAAAAGATTGATAATTTGATATCAGCCTTCAAGGATCGTTTTTCTGATTTTCGAAAAGTAAAACCGTTGCTAGATTTATTTCGCAACCCTCTTGCCATTTTGCCTGAAAATGCATCTGAGTCAATACAGCTTGAACTCATCGACATGCAAAACGATAAGAACCTGCGAAATGAATTTAATGAAGACAATTTATTAAACTTCTACTCACATTTCCGAAAATTTTTCCTGTGTTGTGTTTTGTATATTGACACTCACTATAAATGTATAAAATCCGCAGTCTACTAATAAACTAGCTATTACCGTAGAAAGGATAAGTGTTCCGACAGAAGAGTTGCAAGAATGATGAAAACAGAGACAACGAGTTGTTCGCGGTGAAATCGCGATACCATAATCGAATCGAAGATTAACCTCCTGGAAAGTTTTGTCGGTTGGCTAGGAAGTAATTACCCATTATGAACAATTGCCTTGTAATCAAATGATAAGTAAGGAGTTTCACTGCAAGCACTTCGAATTTTTAATGTCAGAGTTGGAGAGGAAACGACGAGCAAAAGAATTCAATTTCCTCAGAAACATTTCGAAATAGTATAGAGAAAGCGCTACAAAATGTACCAACTTTTCACGTATAATACGTATTAATAAGCAATAATAAATTAACGAGTAGCGAAACACAACTGCTCTGTTTGTGACATATTTTCATGATGATTAAGAAATGTACATTGTAACCAGGACTCGTCTATGCTTGTAACATACGTATTACGACATTATTATGTAGGTTCGGTCATAAATAACATTTACCGTAAACACTAAAAAAAAATGCTAAACATGTTCAACAAATTGCTAAATATTTTTACCATTAGATTGTGCAATAAGTTCATTCGTGTCGATGCATAGTGTTTCGGGTATACACGGTATGTTCAAAAAGTTTCCAGACTGATTTTTTTACATATACATATACTATTAGCCCCATCTCCGAAATCGAGATGATACTAAATAATTTAGATCTTTCTTAGTGCCCTATAATTTTCGTGTTTCCCGATGTTCATTTGTTCATTAATACTACGCTGTTAAAGTTGCTTGATTTTATACGTTGTCACGATTACAACCATGGAGCAACGAGCTGTAATTAAATTTTGCTTTAAAAGTGGAATAACTGCGATTGAAACTTACAGAATGATGTAAAAAGCATACGGACATGATTGTCTGAGTCGTGCTGTAGTTTTTCAGTGGTTCAAACGATTTAAAGAACGTTGTCAGTCACTTGAAGATGACAAAAGAGAAGGACGACCTTCGACAAGTTGCATCGAGTCGAATGTTGAATGTGTTCGTTTCCTGTTGTTGAGAGACCGTTGTTTAACGATCAAAATGATAGATGACGAATTAAATATTAGAATTCGACGTGTGAGGCCCGAGCTTTACCGATCGGGTGAATGGTTTCTGCTCCACGACAACGCACCCGCACATTCGTCGGTCATCGTCACAGAATTTCTGGCAAAAAAGCCTAACTGTTATTAACCATCTACCGTATTCGACAGATTTGTCACCTGCCGATTTCTTCTTGTTCCCGAAAATCAAATTGTCAATGAAAGGCACCTATTATGAAGAGGTGAATGCAATAAAACAGACAGTAACCGATCAATTAAACAGGGTAACACTAGAGGAATTCTCCAAGGCACTCTATAAACGTTGTATTGGGTGTGTAGCTACAGGAGGGATGTATGTAGAAAACTGAACAATAAAAATTCCTTAATCAAGACAATTCAATCTTTTATTACACCAATCTTGGAACTTTTTGAACACACGGTATATGTTTGTTCGAGATATGTGGATTCGAGCAAAATCATATTTTACGAACTAATTCATTTTCGTCTTAAATACACCCTAATACATACCAATATTGGTGGGTACAATTATTGATGTGAATTGTACAATTATTATGCACCTATTATTGTTAATTTATTTGCACGTTAAAAATATTTATTTACTCGATTATTTAATAATAATAATATATATTTAATTGTATTAAAAATTAATGAGTACATAGAATGACACTCTTAGTAGTGTTTTTTCGTCAGGTAAGCTTGAAAAGAAATTCCTTGATGGAGAGGTACTAAACAAAATTTGTAGTTTTTAAAAAATAATTTATAACACATCAATAATAGAAGTGTAGCTGATGCGAATTAGTGTATCTCGTCACCAGCTGTTGAAAAACGAGTAATGACAACTCGCGTCTTCCGTCAACAATGTGTCCATACGTGCGAAGTTTTTTTCGAACCTGCTTGGAATTGTAAACCTACGGTTCAACCGCCGTGGTACACGTGTAAGGATGCAACTGTTGCCCGTCAAATGCATACTAGACAGCTGTTTCACTTTTCGCGACCGAAAAGTACTTCGAGAATGATGCGATAAATAAATCGAATGATAGTTCGACCGATGGGAGCTTACGAATTTTATTTTTATTAATGACATAACAGCAAAATTATAATCTGTTATGTTCGGTAAACGGTAGTGTATGTCTCCTTATTACTTCGTATACGGGCGGCTCTACTGTATAAAAAATGAAATAATTATGTGTGATGTGCATGGAGACTCTTTTTACCCACTAAACATCAGGGTATTCGAAACAGGTAAACATAAGTTTCGTCTCGTTTGCATACCTGGTTGACCTAAGGGTATTTCACCTGGAGCTAAAGCGGAAGTTTTCTTCTACTTTTACTAGGCAGTCTGGCATGAAAGTGAGGGGGAAAATCAAAAGCCTCATTCAGCGGAAAGATATGAGTTTCTTCTTTAAAGCTGAGAAGTTTGAAGGAATTTGTACGGAAAAGATTTTCATGCAAAAGGTCTTATAAATAGTCGAAGAAATATTTCGAATCGATTTCATTTTATTAACACTTTGTGGTAATGACACCATCTTGAGATGGTAACCATTGCCCGGCGAGATACCTCTCTTGTCCCTGTACCAGTCAGCTTGTGGGAACTTGGCAACTTCAAAATTGTACTCTTTTGTGTGTTTATTACTTCGAACTATATGATTGTTTTGGTAGCTTTTTGCCAAATTTTTCTTTAAGGGTTGTTTGAAAAATGTATTATACAAATAAAGAAATGCACTTTTAAAATATTTATACTATTACATACATATTATTGTTTCGAGACGATAACTTTTACATGCTGGGCAAATAAAGTTCAGCTCTGCAGCTTTGAAACTTGCGTGTCCGCTGTGCGGTTAGTCGCGCCTTAGTTACGCTACCGTGCGAAATGTAATGACATGTTTCTTATGGGAATTCAGGGCTGGGCAAATTCATTACCTAAATAAAGAGTTTCAAATAAGGGATAAAAGATAAAAGTACTTCGCCATCTTTATTGATTAAACATGGAAATTCCAATTTTTATATTAATATAAGAGTTCTTCTGGAACGAGTAGACACTTACCAAACAATTATTCAATCTCATTAACTGTTGAAAGTTCAAGGTGACGCTCTTAAGCCGAGTTTACAACTTTTAATTCTGGATAATCATCGGGAATGATTCATCGATCAACATTGTTTTTATCCCCCTATTATCCGAAGTGATCAGAGTAGAGCCAATCTCTTACTGAACTGAATGGATCATTCATTCGTAATGAAACGGCATTGACAAGTATAAATTTATATTTTAGAATGTGCGTGCATGTTGTTATAAGTACGATAATACTGAATTCCTCTTCGGACGAAAACTAGCAAAATCTAGTTTTCTAAAGTTGAAAGGTGTAAATTCGGCTTTAGATACTGTTGCTTTTCACTATGTGTTTGGGATCCAGTCGGATATACCACTGAAAAGGCGCTACTAGCGGAGGCGCCATCTTTGCACCGCGAGTATCATTTTTGTTTCTACTCGGCGTCTACGACGCTCGAGAAGACGCAGGAAGGCAGTCTTCGCGCACACCTCATAGTATAAACACACTTGTTGTAAACCTTCGTGATTCCAAATATATGTTAATCTTAATAACGATTAACAATTGCGTGTATTATTTAATACCCCCCGCGGGAGACTCAACACTGTGTATTATTCGAATCAAACTATGCTCAACTCTGTGGAGATTTAATGAATTTTTTAAATAGTTGTTATTTTATACGCTATTTTATGTAAGGGAAGCTCCCCTAGCCCTGGACAGCACCTATGTAGTATCGGATATTATCTATTATGTTCGACAACTGAAACACGAAAGAGTTAAAGAACAGAAGAGAAACTTAGGAAATAAGTTTCAAAAGACAAATAGACCCAAAAAGATAAAGAAGAGTAGAGCATTGATATCGAAAAACATAAACAAAGACACTGTTTGTGTATGTTGCTTAGAGAGCCATAATGAAGACTGGATTCAATGTTGAAGCTGCCAAGAATGGGCTCACGAGGCTTCGGCCGATATTCCTGAGTGTTCTGATGATTATGTTAAATACATGATATACATATATCACAATCATTGGAAACATATTTACATATTTTTGCTATATCCGGGTACTAGGTGGTGCCGTTCAATGTTCATTTAGAATAATGTACCAAAGTTTCATGTTAATTTAAGTTGAAAATTATGATAATGTTAGTTATTTTGTTCCTTTACTTTGATTTTTATTGTTGTTAGTTTGTAATTAATGTAGAATAAAAAGAAAATATTATTTCTTCATTTATCTAAGGAAAATTTTAAGTATTCGCCACTAGGGGAACTCCTTCTATGGGCGCCAAAACTGAACCAATCAATAAAATTCGCAAAAAAAGTTTAATCTAAAAATTAAGGGAAAAGCAGCGAAAGTGCTCCAGGTGTATCGATAATTTAATGAGCTATGTTGCAATCGGAATCAAATTTGGAACAATAAGTAGAATCGATAAGCTTCTCAAATTAGAACTCTTCTGTGAATAAAATTTTCCAATGTTTTTTTTATCATCTCGTTCGAATAAAAATTCGTTCACTCTGTTGAGTAGTTCTATCGAGTTTGAAATTAAATAAAAACTTTATTGTACTTCATTAAACTTTTTCACTGTACTGAGTCATAGGCACTATAAATTCATGAAATTCGCAGTCTACTGATCACAAAAGTGTTAGCCTGTTAAGTTTTTATTTCTGTATAAAAAAACTATAAAAAAAATTTTTTAGCAAGACTGCATATTCTATTGAACTTTGAACGAATTTTGTTGATCAAAATAATATTATTGACATTTTCTAATGAGATACGTGTATGTTCAACTTTATGCGAATTTTGTTGGTCAAAGGAAGATTATACATATTTACGTTTTCCAATGAAATACAAGTACGTTCATGGGACTTGTATAGTACCTGATTACTGTAAAGTACTAGACAATCACATTTTCAGTCATTGAAGAGCTTGGATAGCATTCTTTTTCACTAATAAACAGAATTACGTACAAACTATCTAGGTTGGTACACATGGAACGTCATTGTTCCGGAGTTTGAATCTGCCAGTCCTATTGATAACCACTAAATTTTGGTCCGATCTTCTATTGTTTTAAATCGTGTTAAAGAAATGTAACATACTGTAACACACGTGTTTTGACTAATAACAAGATTTATTAGTGTAAATTAATTTTGACGGATTTTTGGCTAAAAAACACATTTATTAAAAAAAATAATACAGTGATTCCTCGATGAATGCGACACGAACAACGGTGTTATTCCCACCACTGCACTGGGGGGAACCCCCTCTAGAATCAATAAAAACAGAGTAAACTTAAGCTAAGCAGAGGTTCCACTTCGTGCAAAAAAAAATGTATAAAGGGCTCAAAACATTCCCGTTTTGCCACAAATGCTTCGAAGCGGATCCGAGTTCGTCGCACTCATCGAGATATTACTGTATCGATTTATGTTATGTTACATTAATCCAAATATTTTCATCCGTTTTTGTAACTTTCTCCCATTTTTTCTCTCCACGATAGAACGACTGGTCTTTTGAACCAATCCCCTGAATAATGAATTTTTGCTTTTCTTCGAAATTGCAGAAGTGTGTTCCTCTAACCCCGTGTTGAAGTGATCGGGAAAAGTGGTACGTAATCTGTTGGGGCCAGGTCTGTTTTTACCCCTCGTTCACCACGAATATTTCAAAACAATTTCCACGGCGCATAATGAATAAAATATGATTAAAAGTTATTAATATTAGCTTATTAAACTTATTATAATAATAGTCTCAGAAGTACGAGTTCTCAGATGAATATATTTTAATCTGTAATAATATACCTTTACTGTGCTTTCATAACTATTATTATTTATATTTTAAAATACCATTTCAGAATAGTCGATGTCAATTAACATATAAATTTAAATTTGGTATTAATCATGTTTTTGATAAATCATTATTTTTGAAAGTAGTGTAACTCCATTTGCGGTTAACAACACTGTTTTACTTGGAGAATACTTATAAAAATGGTCGTACAATAAAACTGAACGTGTCTGGACTCTAAAAAGCACAAAACAAGCTCGATAGCGTTTAAAAATATTGCTAAATAGGTTAACATGCAACCATAACACATCTCCGAATGAAGTAGACTTATAATACTTTAAAAAAAAACCATTTATGTAATTAATTTTCACCAAAAAACCCACATCCACATAAAAGCAGAACGAACCACGACCACGAAGTCGATAAGGTGAGATTCTCAGCATGCGTCTGCGATCTGCATCGAAACGCAGGACACGGCGTAGTATCCCCTAAGGACACCACCAGCAGAACCGAACTCGACGTTCCTCGAAAGTACCCTGACCGAGGTGATTTTGTTATTAGATCTCTTAACACTACAACAACAGACGATAAACGTGTAATCTATTTCTACCGGTCGATAAACATGACAAACACTTGAAAATTTTCTTTACTTTCGTATCGTAATAAAAGTTGTAAAGGATCTGAGAAAATATACTGTTATAACATTTCCACCATCGTTATAAGAGTATACTGACCAATCATTTTGACAGATTTTGTAGTTCCAGTGTTAAAAGCACCCGGAACAGAATGCTACTAAACAAATTGTCAAAACATATCCGCGCATTTGCAACTATTCAGACATCGAAAACTTTCTCTGGTACAACTTATGCACTGTCCATCACGTATTCATTCTACCCAACAAATCCCTCCCCCACTTCCGTGTAAAATAAGAACGAACCACTACCGTGAAGTCGATGAGGCGCGATTCTCAGGACGCACCTGCGATCTGCATCGACCATAGAATACGACATAGTATCCCAACAGGACACCAAGCACCACGGTCTCGAGATCTCTTCAAAGTGTCCTGAATAAGGCGCCAGTAAACATACTGTCAGCACGCATCTGTGACCTGCATCGACCACAGGATACGGACGTAGTATCCCGAAAGGATACCAAGAACTCTAATTCGAGATCTGTTCGAAGTGTCACGAATAGGGTACATATTAGTAAACAAATTGTCAGCACGCATCTACGCGACCTGCATCGACCACAGGATACGAACGTAATTATCCCGAAAGAACACCAAGAGTTTCTGACTCGAGATCTCCTCCAAATGTCCTGAATAAGGCGCCAGTAAATAGATTGCTAACATGCATCTGTGACCTGCATCGACCACAGGATACGACGTAGTATCCCGAAAGGATACCAAGAACTCGAGGATTCGTTCAAAGTGTCCCTAAACAGGGGGATGGTGGTTGTGTATAGACACAGTTGTGGAATGGTACTCACGAGGGATCGTTGTCGCGGGGATTCAGTTCCATTCTCCGTGATGACTGGGAAGTTGCGATAGTCCGGATGATGGTGTTGCTGGTGTTGCAGGAAGTTCAGACGGCGATGATTCTGATGCTGCCTGCCTGGAGCCGCGTTGACCGCGGTACTGGATAGCGGTGACGATGGTGGTGGTTGATGTGGCGAAACCCGTTCACCGCGCATGCGCATACTCGAGGAACGACGCAGGCTGGTGGGCGAGGGACGTGGTATACGGGAGTCCGACGAAGAAGATACCGAGGGCGTCGAGGGTGACGGAATGGTGCCCATTGCACTTCCTGTCGTGTCGGTCACGCCATCGTCGCCATTGACCTTGGTCCCGCTGTCGTCGGCAGTACATGTTGCTGACGACGACGGCGACGACGCTGCCAATTCCGTCGGGGTGACGACGCCGGGATTATTGTTTACGTGGCTCGAGGAGCTCGGATGCATCGATTGCAGGGAATTCAAGGATCTCTCGGTACCGTGACGAGCCATCTTGGTTGCCGTTCAGCTGGACATTGTTGTTTCAATGAATCTCTGGAAATGAAAAATTCCGTGGGTTTATTATCGTTAATACAACTGAAAAGTATGCAACGTGTTCCACGCAACTGGGCCAAGCCGTAGCGTTAAAACGGTAGAAGATAGAACAAAATTTCATTAGGAAAAATTGAATTCTTTCGAGTGACGCGTTACGTGGTGTATGTGTCTTTTGTTCATTTCAAGGTCACTTTTACTTTTTTACAAGGAATTATACATTCTTTTTATACACCACTCGATGCATTTTCTCATTTTCTACATCAAGGTATTAACGTACCTTGGTGGAAAAATTATTAGTTTAAAAGGTATTTCGATTTCAGTTTCTCAATATTGTACAGTATTTGGACCTAAACTCTCTCCCACTACTTCCGACCGATTCGGACGCATGCGATTACTCGTAGCTCGCTATCTCGGCCGGTCTCTTACCAAATAATAGTGGAGTAACGGCACCGAATATCAGACATGTGCTTATATGAGATCCCATAGTATTTCCACAAGAGAGTGCTGCCATACTGTAGCAATGTTTACACTATTAAAACAAATGACAACGTTATCCGTATGAGATTGCCTTTCAACGGGGAAACGATTGTTTCAATAAGACGCCAATAAGTTTGCTTTTTCTCGTCGCGAGTTTCTATAGTTATTTATGAAGAAGCTTTGTATAACATTTAAGGTAAGTTATTTGACCAGTTTCTTTATTAGCTTCAAGTCTTCCAAGGGCTGTTTCACCAGTGGTCCCCGACAATTTGAACGAAACTGCGCAGGATCGTTAGCTATACATGTACGAAAAACATTTGTAAAATATTGGCCGCCATGGTTATACATTTTTTAGCAATTCGAAGTCAAAATTTAAAAAAATCGCCTAGTCCGTCAAGTACCAGTGAGCGCTACCCTTTGTCAACTGCACCAGTGGTGAAGCGGCAGCGTACTGAACTGCCACTTCTTTTTTTGACCTAGTATGTTCTTACTATGGGATACTTGATTTGTCTTTATGAAGATCCAGAAGAGGAGTAAACTGGCAAGAAAGATAGTTCCGAATCTGAATTGGATGACGACGCAGAATGTTTATTTTGTTCGTGCCTCTATTCTACGGACGATTCTGATGAACAGTGGGTTCAATGCCCTAAGTGCTACAGATGGGCCCATGAATATTGTGTCCAAACTGTCTTAAAAAGGCAAAAACATAAATTACTTTAATTTTAAATGCTAATTTTGACTTTTAAATTTTAATTTCAATTTTAAGCAGGGTCTAATAGCAGCTTTTTAAAACCATTCATTTTGTACTAAGTTTGTAGCAATAGTACGTTATGAAACTAACATTGTTCCTAAGTATGTAGAATTAAATGACAAATATAGTAGCATAAACACTTTCAATATTTTCCCGTTTTATTGCCCGATATTTAATCAAACATAAATGGAGTCTCATACATATCCGGTGCAATTACCCTATATCTAGCCCAAGCGCGTGGTATCACCGACACGAACGAAAACATTACATAAGTGGGGGTTTGGACGTTGCAACGCGCACGTTCGGTGCTCATTCGGGGCCGCATGCTCAGATGAGTACACGGCTTTAGAACCATCCCATGCGTAAAACGAAGTTATTCTTAAGTTGGACAAAGAGTAGGCTTGAACGTTCCTTCTCTATATCTTCGCTCGTGTTTACTCATTTTACGAATTCTGCTCTTTTAAACAAATCATTTTTTCACTTAAGTACCGTAATACTTTCCTGTGGAAAATTAAAAAATGCAACGAATGGTGTATAAAAAAATTTATAATTACATTTTAGAAAATAGAGATGACCTCTTCGGTATTCGGAGAAGAGACATGAACCACGTGATGTATCACTCGAAACCACGTAATTTTTCCTAATCAAATTTCTTCATCTTTTACCGTTTTATCGCTATGGCTTGGCCCAGTAGTGTGGAACACCCTGTATAAACGATATCAGGAAACACTGGTATAGTTAATAGAAAAAATTGAATTTAACCGTAGATTCAACAAGCGTGTGTGTACATTTTATCTGTTATACTAAAATAAGAACGTGCAGTAATAAATACACACGTTGTCTTAAGTCGGTTGCACAATCGGTGATATCTAAGTGATAGCGGATGCATGTGTACAAAAAATAAGCGTTTCAATAACTTCGAATCACCGTCTGTAATTCATTACAGTCCTGTGTCATAATTAACTCGATATTATACACGGCGAGGCACCTAACATGGCGAATTAAAATTATTCATAAATTATTTGTTGTTCGAAAATATGTTTCTAACAAAAATTGCGTGGTTTCAAGGGAGATGTATGTTAGAATAATTATTTTTTGTCTACATTGTTCATACAAGTACTAAAGATTACCTTAATTTTTTTTAGTAGAACACCCAATATATTTTTATGAAAATTGAATCAGCATAGAAAATTGGGTGAATAAATATTAAGCCATATTAGGTATAAAATGGATATTTATTGTGATATTTACAATGAAAATTTGATTGTAAAAGGTGTTTTATTCAATTTTCTTAAACCATACACGATTGTAGAAAACATGTAACGATGTTAGTGTATATGCAAAAATCTCTAGGAGTACACTAGAAAATATGTATGTGTCATTCGTCAAATTATTAGGTGTTTTGTATCGGCCATAAGGGTCAACAATTCGAATACTTTTTACAATAAAACTTTCAGCGATCTGGTCGAAGGCTACCTCATCCCCGATTTTGATGATTTTTTAATATGTTATAGAAACAAACATTCTGAATAACATTTTCGTTTCACAAAAATGTCGGTCGGTCCTAGTTCCCGATATATTCGTAAAAAACTGTCGGTACCATGACTGTCCTATTTTGGTACACCTTCGGTTCATTTTTTGAAGGTTTTCCCCCCGTTAGAAAAAAAAAGAAAAAAAATGGGTGGTGACTTGGCTAACACGTTTGTTCATTGCATTCCGTTTCTACTTATTACCAGCACGAATATACGGACAGATCTTTTTTCATTCTATACTGTCTTAGTAATCTATACTGCTTTTATTTCTTTATACATCAGCAATGATAATAATAACAATTATGTATATAAATTATTTTCGGTCGTTAATTCAGTTTATTAGACATACAGTGATTCCTTGATAAATGCGACACGAGCAACGGCGTCATTCCCACCACTGGGTGGGGGGAGGCTCTGGAATTAATCAAAACAGACTAAACAGAAGCTAAGCAGAGGCTCGATTTCGGATAAAAAAACAAATTTATGAGGGGCTAAATCCTTTCCGTCTTGCCATGAATGCTCGGATACAGACCCGAAAACGTCGCACTCATCGAAACATTACTGTACCTCGGAAAGCTCAAACTGAATTTATTATTTACTACTATCACCACAAAAAGTTAACATTCATAAAATCGGATCGGGAAATTTCTTTTTTTTTTGCATCACTTTCTACTGACAATGAGTCCTAATGATGAGTCGTTATTCACCTAGACCGGCAGGATTATATTGTTTAGGTTGCTGTTTGGTATCGTTTCAAATGGTTCACTGATTCAGTGTACCAGACCGAAAACAAAATGAAAACTTTCATTTGCAAAGATCTTTCAAATCGTTCGTATAACGTAACCATAACATTTAGTTAATTGATTAAGTTAAGGATAACATATCTGGATAAACATAATTTTCAAATAACTGTAGTTATTTAACAGTTATTAAATAACTATACAAGTATTACATAGAACAAACGCCTGCTTCGTATTTATTTTATGACTAACCAATAAATGACATTTAATCTTATCATTTAATAGAGTGGCTAAATTTACAATTTATTTTTCAAATAGTTTCTAGAAGTGTTTGTACCCGTAAACTATGTTTAACAAACGTGAACTAAACTGTACTTTGAAGCCGGAAGTTCACCACGATTTTACCGTTCGTAATAAGTGCAGCCTTCGTGCAAAATGAGTCAGCGATCCGGGAGCATTCATGAAAAGAATAATCTAACGGTAACGTGTAAACTAGCCTTTGCTCTGTTTTTATACCGAGCGTACAATTCATAAATGATTATTGGATTTTGGAAGTCTTGTTAAACAGACTGCGGATGTTCGTGTAAATTTACAATTTTGCGCAGTGGCTATAAAAAAACGAAAAATTGGACAGAGTTTTGTTTTCAGTACTAAGGATTGCAATATGTTACAATAATACCCCAGGTATTATTAAATTCTACTAGAATCGTAGAATTTATTTCGCTATAAATATCTACAAGTCGAGTGTTGGACGTTATTCGAATACATTTTTATTCCATGAACGAATAACGAATAAAATTTTTTCTCGTTATTCGATTTCAGGAGGTATTGGGCAAAACTAGTCGTGATTAACTAATAATACTGATTTGTTCGTTCTTCGCGAATAATACCTACTCAGGTTATTCGTTATTCGCAAATAACGAATAGATCATAAAAAATTCGCTATCTTCTGTCACTCCTTAAACGCCATATTAGCAATTCAGAACCAGTGGTCAAATGATGCCACGATATACAAATTCCAAGGAGTGTTTGCGCAAAGACAGTTTAAAGAAGCAACACAGTCACTATAATTTGGATTCCTTACCCCGTTGGCATTGAAAAGAATAAAATATGGCGGACAAAGCAGCTAAGGAAACAACTAAATCGTCAACCGCCCATCAACAAACCATGCCCCCGTCACGACACTATATACAAACATCATCAAAACAAAGAATTCAACCAAAATGGAACGAATAATGACACCAAGAAATTATCTCAAGGATAAGATTAATTATAAAACACACGCAGTGCAACACCAAGCTAATGATAGACCACATCATCCTCCCGTGCAGAAAGTAACTAGTTTACCCATAGACAAAAATTCAACATTAATCCCACCATCAAAGACAACTTAAAAGACATGAAAACAATTTCAAGGACTAATAAATTATTTAAAACATATCAACATATACAATCATTTATGAATACACATCATCATGTTAGAGATAATGTCGCTAATAA